CTTCCTGGTCAATCAACTAGAAGAGATCCATATGTGTGCCCATTCCAAAGAAAGGTAATGCAACAGAATGTGGAAATTATCTAACAATATCATTAATATCACATATAAGTATATTTTTGCTGAGGATAATTTAAAAATGGTTGCAGCAGTATATTGACAAGGAACTGCCAGAAATTCAAGCTGGACTCAGAAGAGGGCATGAAACAAAGGATATCCATGCTGATGTCAGATGGCTCTTGTCTCGAAGCAAAGAATACCAGAAAAATGGGTACGATGACAGACACATAGACCAGTGGGATAGAATTGAGAACCCAGAAATAGATCCATGGACCTGTGGTCAGCTGATCTTTGACAAAAGGCCCAAATCCATTAAATGGGGGAAGAGAGAGTCTCTTTAATAAATGGTGCTGGCAAAACTGGTTATCCATTTGCAGAAAAAGGAAACAAGATCCATACCTCACACCATACCCAAAAACTAACTCCAGATGGATCAAAGACTAATGTGAAACCTAAAAGTATAAAGTTCCTCAAAGAAAAAATAGGGGCAAGTTAAGGGGCCCTAATTTATGGCATAAATAGATCAAGCATAACCCAACATGCACAAACAGCAGAAGATAAACTAGATAATTAGGACCTTCTAAAAATTTGTATGTGCTTCAAAAGACTTCTTCAAAAGAGTGAAAAGAGAACCTACAGATTGGGAAAAAATATTTGATAACAACATACCTGACAAGAGATTTACTTCTAAAATGTGTAGAAAACTCCAACACCTTGACAACAAAAATAAAATCCAATTAAAAAGTGGGCAGAAGACATGAATAGACACTCCACCAAAGAAGATACTCAGGTGGCCAACAAACACATGAAGAAAAATATTCACAAATGTTCACAACCATTGTTGTTATTTGCCGTCGAGTCAGACCCAACTTATAGCAATCTTGGGTTTCCGAGGCAGTATCACTATGGAAGTAGATTGCCCAACCTTCACAACCATTAGCCACTGGAAAAAACAAAAACAAAAACAAAAACAACTCACTGCCATTGAGTCACCCCAGCACTAATAGCAAAGATCAACAAGACAAAAAATAACAAATGCTGGTGGGAATATGGAGAGATTGAGATGCTCATACACTGCTGGTGGGACTGTAAAATGGTACAACCACTGTGGAAAGCAGTATGGCGATGAAGAGTCTGTGAATCACCTCATAATGTGGATGAACTTGAGATAGGAAGAGACAAGTATTGATTTAGGTGAAGGGAAGGGCAAAGTACCAAAAGTGAGTTATCAACATGTTGACACTGAGAAAAATGTTTCTGTCTAGTATGAAAAATGTTTCTGTCTAGTATAGAAAAATGTTTCTGTCTAGTATGTTATGCCAAGTGAGCTTGAACGTCCCCTGTGCCCATGGTCCCAAGCCCACAGGTCCAACTACTCACTCCCTCAGAGTAGCTTGCTGTGGCCAAGAAGCCACCACAACCTTGCCCCTTGTCAGTTCTATACACTGCTAGAGATAGGAAGAGACAAGTATTGATTTGGGTGAAGGGAAGGGCAAAGTACCAAAAGTGAGTTATCAACATGTTGACGCTGAGGAAGAGGAAGATAGAGATACAGAGCAGTTAAGACAACAAAGACAAACCCTTTTGCATGTATAGTACTGCATTGTCAGTGATGGCAAGCATTGATCTATGGGTGGATAGATGGGTGGACAGGCTGAATGATCAGGTATGTCTGGACAGGGAGGAGTGTGCCCATGACCATGTATAGGGTTGGTAGATGTTTCTACAAGTGCATTTGTGTGTGCTGTAAGAATGTCTGGGTGTGTGGTAGAACTGACAAGGGGCAAGGTTGTGGTGGCTTCTTGGCCACAGCAAGCTACTCTGAGGGAGTGAGTAGTTGGACCTGTGGGCTTGGGACCATGGGCACAGGGGACGGTTCAAGCTCACTTGGCATAACATACTAGACAGAAACATTTTTCTATATCCTACTTTGGTGAGTAGCCACTGGGGTCTTAAAAGTTCACAAGTGGTCATTTAGATGCAACAATGGATGAGTCTCTCCTCATCCAGAGCAAAGAAGAATGAAGAAACCCAAGAACGCATAGAAACAATTAGTCCCAAGGACTAGTAGACCATGCAATCCTCAGCTATATGACTATGAGACCAGAACTAGATGGTGCCTGGCTACCACTGTCAACCACTCAGAGGGGAATCAGTGTAGGAGATCCTGGATATAGTGGGAGAAAAATGTGGAATAAAACTCAAAATCATAAAAAAAAAAAAAGGGTTTGCTGGTATGATAGTGCCTGGTGAGGCCCCTGAGGCTATGGCTCCTAGTTACCCTTCAGGTTTGGAAGTAAATTCACTCCTGAGGCTTCCAGCCAAACAATAGACGGGCATATGAGGTGAACATTTATATCAGACAGATACACTCCTTGGAGCAATCAACTGTGGGAGAACAGAAGGGCACTGTTTGCACCAGCTGTGGGTGGAGTAGTGCATGGTGGGGAAGGACACAAGGAAGAGGTAACTATGAGGAGAAAGTGGGAAGAGAGCTGTTACATTGTGGGGAATTGCAGTCAATGTCATGAAACAAAATGTGTATAAACTGCTGTATGGAATGCATTTGCTCTGTTAACTTCCGCCCGCATCACAATTAAAATACCAGAAAGATGTTTACCTGTTTTATTGACTATGCAAACACGTTCTACTGTGTGGATTATAACAAATTAGGGATAACATTGTGGAATGGGAATTCCAGAACACTTAATTGTGCTCATGAGGAACTTGTACATAGACCTAGAGCCTGTCGTTCAAACAGGAGAAGGGCATACTGAATGGTTTAAAATCAGGAAAGGTGTATGTCTGTGTTGTGTCCTTTCACCATAATTAATCTGTATGCTAAGTAAATAATCTGAGAAGCTGAACTATATGAAGAACGCAGCATGAGGATTAGAGGAAGACTCATTAACAACCTGTGATATGCAGAAGACAACCTACCTTGCTTATTGAAGGCAGAGAACTTGAACCACATACTGATGAAGAACAAAGATTTCAGTATGGATTATACCTCAACATGAAACAAAAATCCTCACAACTGACTAATAAGCAACATCATGATAAATAGAGAAAAGGTAGAAGTTTTCAAGGATTTCATTTTACTTGGATCCACATTCAACATCCATGGAAGCAGCAGTCAGGAGATCAAATGACATATTGCACTGAGCAAATGGGCTCTTTAAAATACTGAAAAACAAAGATGTCTGAACACTAAGATGCCTCTGATCCAAGTCATGGTTTTTTCAATAGTCTCATATTCATGTGAAATCTGGACAATGAATAAGGAAGATCAAAGAAAAATTGTGGCATTTGAGTGTTGGCAAAGAACATTGAAAATAGTGTGTGCTGCCAGAAAAATGAAGAAATCTGTCTTGGAAGAGGTATAGCCGGAATGCTCCTTAGAGGCAAGAATGGCCAGACTTCATCTCACCTACTTTGGTCATGTTGTCAGAAGGGACCAGTCCTGAAGAAGGATATCATGCTTGGTAGAAGGTCAGCAAAACAGGAGAAGACCCTCAATGAGATGGACACAGTAGCTGTAATGATTGGCTCAGTGATTGTGAGGACGGCACAGGAGCGGGCAGTGTTTCATTTTGTTGTGCATAGTGTCACTACAAGTTGGAACCAACTTGACTGCACCTAACAAGAACGTTTAAATTCTGTTGACTCCATAAGATTCCCTATTCCCTTTGCAACTGAATTCCAGTAAAATTTTCTCTGCCGTGTTATGACCCATCTCACTTTCTACCTGCTGTTTCTCTAAATAGGAGCTCTGGTAGCATAGTGTCTAAGGCACTTGAATGCTAACCAGAAGGCTGGCGGTTCAAACCCACCAGCCACTCCTTGGAAGGAAGATAGAGCAATCTACTTCCATAGTGATACTGCCTTGGAAACCCAAGGAGGGGTCACTATGAGTCAGGTCCAACTCGAGGGCATATGACAACAGCAACAACATTTCTCTAAATACCTTATTTTCCCTGTCAGACCAAGAACTCCTTGCTTCTCCCTTTCTACTATCCACAGCAGTAGCCCATTATCTTGGATGTAACAGGTATTCAGTTTATGTTGGAAAGGAAATATTTCAGATAATTCAAAACATAAGCATGACTGACATCAGTAAACAAGCTGTAGGAGTACTACATGCATAACAAAACCATCCCACTCTGATTTGGAAAAATGTGAAAAATATATTTATTAAAAAAAATTTATTATTTTACTACAGTATAATACAAGTTTTTGGCAACAGAAAATAAAACCTAAAATGGATTGATAGTTTTAAATATCTAAAGCCTCATTTATTGATTATTAAAATGATACAACTTTCTTCTTCTATTGTAAAGTTTATAAAGGAAAAAGATTTACACTGTACACAAACATAAGGAATACCTTTCAAGAGTTGTGGAATAGAGATATGGGGAAGAATATGTGATTCAAAGGATAGCTGAGACCCTGGAGTTTCTGGGAGAAATACCCCAGTCTGGCCGGCCAGCCTGTCCCTTATTTGTAGGCTCTGTTAGGCTTTCTTGTGACTGTATATATACATTCTGTTTCTAATGCAGTTCTTATTTCTTGAAGGATCTAGCTATTCTTCATTATTGAGACATGCTTTATCTTGGTGGTCCCATTTACAGAGATGCTCATGTTGATAGGTTAAAGTTGGGTCTTTGTTTTTCTTCTTTTCTACTCTTGATGGTGGTTTTCCTGGAGGAGTTGGTATTCATTTATCTGTCTTTTCCATCTGACAGAATACAGTCTGAATCAGACCTTAACTCCTGAAAACTTCTATAATGGGAAGTCCCAGTGAAAATATATACCTTCCTCTCCTCCCAGTTCTTCTTCCATTTCTGTATGATGGTTTATGGAGAAATCTGTGTAAAGATCACTCCATCTTCTGAAGAAGGTGGCAGGATAACAGTTGATTTCAGAGAGCTGGGTTTCCTTGGTCATGGTCGCATATTGTCTTGAATCCAGTCTAGGTAATTGGTAACCTTGGTATATATACCTGGAATGTCTTTCTGACCACAGCCAACGCCCCAACTGATGATGCCAACCAAAATCATGCGCTTGTCCTTCATACACACCAAAGGGCCACCTGAGTCACCCTGCAAAGGAAAGAACAGGTTTGTCGTGTGCAAAAAGTGCAGGGTATTTAGAGAAAGTTAGGTTAGTGTTAAGGAGTTCTGGTGCCCAGTGCCTAGGATATTTGACTGCAAATCAGAAGGTTGGCAGTTCAAACTCATCAGCTGCCCCATGGAAAGAAGTTGAGGCAATCTACTACCGTAAAGATTTACTGCCTTGGAAACCCAATGGAGGGTCGCTGTGAGTCAGAATCTACTGGATGACAATGGGTTTGTTTTTTTGGTTAAGGTTCGTGTTAATATTCTTCAAAGTACTTAGTTCAGAGATGGAAATTCTTACATCAATTATCTTGATCCTTTAGAAGTTAGGTTGTATCTACATATATAAAGTGTAGTAGATTGATATAACTCCTCAGATATTTCAGGCCTCAAAGATCTTTGGTTTAAACTTCACCACTTACTAGTGATGTGGCCTTAAGCTAACAGTGCTTCAGTTAAAAGCATTTGTTATGTGAATTATGTGAGTTAGGTTGTCAATGAATTAATTGGGAGAATGCATGAAAAGCACTGAGAATAATGGAAGACTAGTAAGACTTACAGTAATTGTCAGGTTTTTTTGGTTTATTATTATATTGAATCCAAATGACTTTTTGTTTTTAACTGAAGTTTGCAGATAATGGTTTCACTTTGCATACAACTTTTTTATGCCTGCTGAGTTCAGGTGGTAGACTCGAGGTTTGTAAAGAAACTGTTCAAAAAGAGACCAAATGCTGTCTGTCAAGGAGCCAAGAAAAAAAAGAAATGCCAACATGATTATCTCATGAGAATACAGCCCACAAAGCTTTCAGCACAGGAGCCCTGCAGTACTTCTCTCTGTATGTACTCTCCTTAACCCCAGTCCCTAAAGGAGAGCCTGCCAGGCTGTAGGCAGCAAAATGTCTGCTCAGTAACAGTTCCTGGGCTATATTTAGGTCCTAGTCCCAGCAGGTTGGTCTCTCCCTAGTACACCAACCAGTATCTTGTTATCATGAAATATAAGTACTATGATGAGAATGACAGCACAAAAACCCAAAAGAATTTGCTTTCCCAGGGCCGAATATGAATTTAAAAAATGATTTATCTCAAATCATCTATATCCTACTTCCCAAGAAGCTCCTTTTTCTCCTTCCCCCTTCTACAAAGCTGACTCCAATCTTCTAGCATCTACAGAAGTCAAGAATTTCTTAATTTATGTTGCTGTATCCATCACTTCAATAGTCAATTAATTGCCTGGGTTGACAGGAAGTTCTATGCAGGTGGAGTTTCCTGTGTAGGCACTGGGGAAATTTCCTACCAGTTTAGATTTCTTAAGTTTTGGTAACTTTGATCTTTCTCCAATTGCTTTATTCTCTGAGGCCCTCTATTCTTTAGAATCCCCAGGGCCTCACCAAGATGAAACCACTCCATTCTAATGATATTTTTTTTTCATCTTGTTTAAAAACCTGTTGACCAAGGAACTTTTTACCCCTGGGTGGCCAGAGTACAGGGAGACACTCATGTTTACCTGGCAGGCGTCATGCAGGTTTACTTGGCTCCCTCCACTGCGAGTATCTCCAGCACACAACATATTGTTGGTGACAGTTTTATTGAACAAATGCTGTGACGTGCAGCGGCTGGATGGGTACAGTCTGACATGAGCCTCCTTCAGGCGTTCAGAAAAGAAAGGAGAAGCTGAAAGACAGGAGAAAAAAGTCTTCAGGTTCTAGAGCAAGGAAGGAGGAAACTAAATTTTCCAATAATGCCTAACATTTACCAACCATTTTATACATATTATGTTCAATGCCATGGTATTGGCAAAATTAGACTGTTTTGACTTACAAAAATAGCAGTTTTATAGTATTAAACCCAGGGTTTCTCAACAGCTGCACTACTGATACTTTGGACTAGAAAATTCTTGGTTTTGGGAGTTGCGTTGGAGTTGGTCTGTGTGTTGTAGGATTTTTAGTGGTATCCCTGGACTGTATCAGATGCCAGTATCAACCCCCACTCTGAGTTGTGACAACCAAAACTACCTCCAGACATTGCCAAATGCCCCCTAGAAGGCAAAGCTGCCCTTGCTTGAGAACCTCTGGTTTAACCTAATATTATTTAATCTTCATAATCTAATTAAATAAGTAGTTTTATCCCCAATTCACCAAAGAGAAAGGCAATTTAAAAGAAAAACACCATGCCCAGGACCACATAACTAACAAGGTGCAGATCTGGGATCTGACTATAGGTCTGCACAACTTCAGAGTCCAAGAACCCATAACCTTACCCACTTAAAACCAGTGGCTATCGAGTTGACTCTGACTCATGGTGACCCCGTGTAAGCAGAGCAGAGCTGTTCCATAGGGTTTTCAAGGCTGTGACCTTTTGGAAGCAGATAACCAGGGCTTCCAAGCCACTTCTGGCTGGGTTCAAACCATCGACCTTTTGGTAATTAGCCAAGCACTTAACTACACCAGCTAAGGGACTCCTTTAATTACTATACTACACTTCTATAGAACCTTCTTTAAATCTTAAGCACTTCAAAGCACTAGTAATATTCAGACCTCACTTGACCTGCATAAATGACCTTGTCAGGCACTTGATATGGTCTCAAGATACAAGGAGGCAGAGAACTTGCCTACATTTATGTAGAGCTAGTACCTGAATTGAGGTGTTTTAACTCAGCTCTTTTAACCACTTTTTCTACTGTCTGGTCAACGACTGCACCTCTGTGTCTTGCAGATGACAGGATGGAGTCGAGACTTCCTTTCACTTACTTGCTTCATGCTTGCCGTAGCCAGAAAGCTCACATTCGGTCCAGTCAGGCAGCTGCAGGCCAGCCTCAGGAAGGCAGATGGGGCGCACACTCTGGCTCTCCTGGGCACAGTGTGATGAATCAGATTTCAGCCGCAGCAATGCTGGGAGGGAGAGTGAGGAAGAGAATAAGTCCTGTGTGAAGAGCTTCTAGTTTTGGGAGAGGAAGATGAGAGAGAGAGGGCTTGGAATGAAGGGGTGCATGTGTGTTTTTGTGGGCATGTGAGTGGACATGTATGGGTGTAGGTTGATTTAGAGAGGTCTGAACTGGAGCAGAGAGAATCATGACATCTTACCAATGTCATTGTTGTAAGTGTCATCATCAAATTCCTTATGGACGATGTATTTTTCTACTTCAAACTTCTGCTCCTCCTCTCCGGAGACCAACCGGTATGTTCTGCCCAAGATCACCTTCAGGTTGTTGGAAGGAATCCTAGTGGAGAGACAGACTTAAAATGTCAGATTTCCTCTAATGAACACAGCTAGTTTCAAAAGGCCTTAGAGGGCAGAAAGACCTATTGAGTTTCTCCAAGTCCCTACCTCTCCTGGAAGCAGTGGGCAGCAGACAGGACCCAACAGGAATTGATCAGTATTCCCCCACACAGAAACCTTTCTCCTGGTGACTTCCTGTTCTTGGCAAAGATTGCAGCCTGCCAGGGATGAGAGGTGATGTCTGCGTAGAGTCCTCCTTTAATGCGAAACTGGGCCTGTTTGTACTGTCTCAGGCCACAGGTGGCTGCAAGAGGTAAGCACAGAGAAGGAATATCAGACCTTTGCTCCCTGAGATAAGGACCTTGAATATCCATCTTGGTTTCTTCTCCTGGGAATCCTAAGTTTCTACAGGCTCACTACAATCTGCAGAGTGCTGTAACAGTCTACAAGGTAAAAGACCCACAACTCACTTGTTGAGTATAAACTACATGTCAAGTACTATATATATATATATATATTAGGAGCTCTGGTAGCATAGTGTTTAAGGCACTTGACTGTTAACCAGAAGGCTGGTGGTTCAAACACACCAGCTACTTCTCGGAAGGAAGACTGAGCAATCTACTTCTGCAGTGATACCACCTTGGAAACCCAAGGGGTTGCTGTGAGTTGGGTCCGACTTGACGGCACATGACAACAACAACAACAACAAATATATATATATGTTTAACTCTCATAACACTGAGCTTCTGAAAGGCTGGGAAATTTTGACCAGGGTCACAATGGTACCTGCATTTGAACCCAGTTCTGTCCGACTCCAAAGCTGCTGGAGATCTTTCTGCTGTTTCACTGCCTCTAGTCTTTCCTGCTGTCACTTCCTAGCTTAAAAAATCGTAAAGCACCCTACCAAAGCCCCTTGCAGCTTCCTCCTGGGGAATGACTCCATTTATTTTCCATCTACTCTACCTTCTCCCATCCTTTAAAGCCCAGGTCAAATCTTAACTCCTCATGAATCTTCCTTTTAACACTCCAGCCCAGGAGGCTCTCAGCTTCTCATTGAGGACATACCATATGTGCCTTTGGTTGTGGGTTAATTGGCAGTTTCTCTCTCACCTTTGCAGTCAAACTGTATATTCCTTGAGGAACATTTTGGCTAATCTGTGTGTTCACAGAATTGAACTTAATCCTTTCTCAGACAATTCAGTCTATTCTCAGACAATTTGCAAACTAAAGATTTATAATTTAGTAACACTGGAATCTTCTCTGTCTCTTGTCCTCTATCACTAACCAGTTCCCTCATGTTAAATGAGCTCAGTGAGAAAAGTGGGAGAGTTCCCATTAAAAGCACAAGCCTTGCAGACAGAGGATATAGGATCAGACCCCAGCTCTACCACTTAGAAGCCAAGGGAATTTGTGCAGGTCACATAACATCTGAGAGAGAGATTCCTAATTGATAAAATGGAGATAAGAAGACCACCTCTCACCAGATTGTTGGGAGAATGCTAAGAAAGCACTTGGTTATCTAAGGAATGAATATGAGCGAGATCTTCCTCATATTCACCCCCACTAGCATCATTAATAAAGCTATCTAGAGAGAAAAGTTGGAAATCTACTGAATTCTTTGTGAAGACTATCAATAGAAATTGATATAGACTCTTTTCTTTCCTTTGCCCCTTCTTCTTCATCCTAAGTTGTGGAAAGTGGACATTTGCCCGAGAGTGTTGCTGTCCCACCATTGCTTGAGTCATGGAATTCCTCCCCCACCCCCAAGACCTAGCCTTCTTTGGAGACTGGCAGCTATACAGTCTGAATTAGACAGCTGTGCAAGTACAGAAAGTGGTAGAGGAAATGGTCAAGTGAGACTGGACAAAGGAAAGTAGCCAAGGCCAGCCCTTACAGCACTGGGGCATGTCACAGTATTCCCACGTCAGCTTGTGGTCCTTCAGCACATGGCACCAGGGCTTGGCATCCCCATCTGGATTCCTAGATGATAAGAGATTTAAGAGTTTCATAAGCTTACATTTTTCCAGACACAACCTGTGTGAGAGGGGAAGGAGGCTCAGTAAACCAATGGCAAAAACAATGACTTGGGAGGAGGGGCCCTAAGCTCTGGACTTGGCCTCATTTTAGACTCCCACCATAAGAAAAATAACTTCCTTTTAACTTCAATTTTCTATCAGTCCTATAGCAGTCTAATCTCACAGGGATGTTGAGAGGACCTGTGAGCTTTCTGTGAGGAAACTCTTGCAATTCATTAAAAGAAAGGTGCTACATTAGAATGGAGCAGATGAGAACTAAATGGCTATGGGACCAGACCCCTAACTGGGCATTCTTACTGAGAAACAGGTATGCCAGACTTTTCATAATAGTTGTTCATTTGACTAAATGAAGGTTAAGCACCGCATATCCCAACACATGCCCCCATCCTACCCCCATCACATGCCCATGGGTCCCTCAGACCCTGCATCACGCACCGGCAGTAATTGTGTTTGCCCAGGCCCAGTGCCTGGGCATTGCTCTTCCATGCTGTGTAAACCTTGCCTATCAGGATCAAAGAATTCCACTGGAGGCAGGTGGCACCCGATGTGGTGAGGCTGTGGGTACCACGGTAATCTAGCCCTTTTCCAAAGTAGCAATCCTCATTTTTTCCTAGAACAAAAGAAATCTCAGACTGAAACAAAACCAATCAAGCAGATCAGTCATGGCTTTCAGCAGGGCCTGACCTGGAGATACTGGACAGGGAAGGTGAAGGCCAGCCTAGCACTGAAAAGTGTGTGATCTCACCCCCTCCCCCTTTTTCCTTCTTCAAGTCCTTTACATAGGGGTGGTAAATGGAATTCATCTTATATGCCAACTTCCATCAATTGGTTGTGGCTTCCCAGATCACTGTGTTGAGACTCTGAATTGTATTCAGATTCCCAGAAGGCTGTGCTCAATTAGCAGTGAGTGCCATGGGCTTGGGAAGCAGTGAGGGGGTAAGTCTGAGTGTCTGGCTTATTTTTACCTATTTGCCTCACTTTGCCCTCTTCCTATTTGAAACTGACAAAGTATACCACTGGTGGCATAGTGCCTAAGGCATTTGACTGCTAACCAGAAGGCTGGTGGTTCAAACCCACCAGCCACTCCTTGGAAGGAAGACTGGGCAGTCTACTTCTATAGAGATACCACCTCAGAAACCCAAGGAAGGGTTGCTATGAGTTGAATCGATGGCAGTGAGTTTGGTTTTTTTTTTTTTTTTGGTATGCATAAATAATCTAAACCACTGAGTCCCAATTTAGATCAGATCCTGGTAGGTGGAGAGGATACTTTGGAATTATTGTAAAGAGTCCTCAAATTCACAGGTACACCAGCATTATCTGTAGAGTTAATGCATATCTGTGCATCAAGTCTACAGGTGAGAGAGATATATAGACTTGTATGTATGTATATACACACACATATATATAGATATAAATCTTTTAAAAATATATGCATGAAGTCTACGGGCAATGACGATTGTTGTTGTTGTGTATCATTGAGTTGATTCTGACTCACAGTGACCCTAAATGACATAGCAGAACTGTTCCATAGGGTTTCTTTACGGAAGCATATCATCAGGTATTTTCTCTCGCAGAGCAGCTGGTGGGTTCAAACTACTGACCTTTCAATTAGTAGCCATACACTTAACTACTGTGGCACCAGGATTCATACATATGTATATCTTTTAAATATATGTATATGTATTCAGCATTATTTAATTAATTAAATAAATAATATTGAATATATATCTATATAAGATATAGATATATATGTTTAAAAATATTCTTTATACCATTGTGATAAATGGCATACAACTATTTGTAAAAGCACTGCTAACTAGAGGCTGGTGGTTAAAACTCATCAGCCAATTCCTCAGAAGGAAGATTATACAATCTACTTCTGTAGAGATACCATATCGGAAACCCAAGGAGGGGTTGCTATGAGTCAGATATGACTCTACGGCAGTGAGTTTAGTGAGTTTTTTTTTTTTTTTGTAACTTAGTATTTTTTCAATCTGGGAATTTTTTTCACATAATAAATATTTAAAGAAAGAGAGAAAAAAACAATGCCCCCCCACCACCACAAAAAAGAGACTTCATTCATTCTCAAAAGGATTGGAAACCACTGAGCAATCCCATCCTCTCTGTAGAAGACGAAACTGAGGTCAGCATGATGAAGAATCAGCTCAAGGTCAAATACCTAGTTAAAGGACAAGCTTGAGCAAGGACCTAAGTCTTGATTTTATTGCCCTTCTTACAACCAACATGACTGACCACTCCTCTTTCTCCTCAGCTCCAGAGGGACAGTCAGGCTTATCCTCCCAGAGGCTTCTTCCCCAGGACACTACAGGAGGAGCTGGAGGTGGTGTCCTTACCCTTGGTACAGGCTGGTGTGCTGCAGAACTCTGGGCTATATGTCCCCGCCTTAAAGATGTAGCACCAGGGCTTTGAGTCTTGGTCTGGGTTTCTGAAAAATCAGCCAGCGAGGGCCAGGAGAGGTTAGAAGTGAGGCCTCCCCTCTTGAACCCACAGATCATATGCCTTTTCCCCAACTGTAGCGTCTTCTCATCTGAGAAAAACCCATTCAGTAAGAAGAAGGGCCCTCTCACCTGCAGTAGTTATGGTTCCCAAGGCCCAGCTTGAGAGCATTGGGCCTCCGCCCATTGTACGGCTTCAGGGCCAGTGCACTGCTGTTCCAATTGACACACTCAGCCCCACTTTCCGCTGTGCTCCACGTGCCCCTGTAGGTGACTCCCTGGTCCTCATAGCACATGGCCTTGGCATCTGGGTTAAAGCAGGACAAATGCACCCTGCATGTGAATCCTCCTCATTTAGCTTTTCATAGGGCTTTCACAACTACTCTATTATGGCTGTAAACTGATGAGGCAGGCTGGCTGCTGACACAACTGGAGCCCATGAGGCAAATCAGATGCCTGGGTTTAGCAGCCTTGGGTAGAGTCAGATTCTAGATTCACACTCAAGGCTCTGCCCTTTGGGCCCAGCATTTTGGTTTCCTAACCCACCATTGGATGATCCTTTCCTGTTCCCGCTGCCACCAATGCCATTGCCACTACACGCTTTTCCTTTCTGGATAAATTCAGGAGTTGGGATTGCAGTCCTCTCTCATACCCACCCATGTACCTAACCACTTACCTGTTTCACATCGTTTCCCCACAAATCCTTCATGGCACTGGCAGACAAAATCTGAGAAATATAGAGCCTGCCAACATATCCCGCCATTGAAGCACCTTGGTTCACTGCAATCTGTCAAACACAAATAAGGAAAGTCCTAAGTACTTTTAGGGGGCAGTGGTGGTTCAGTCGTAAAATTCTCACCTTCCGCGCAGGAGACCTGGGTTCAGTTCCCAGCTGATGCACCTTACATGCGGCCACCATCCATCTGTCAGTAGTGATTTGTGTGTTTTTGTGGTGGACCTGTCATCAAGAGGGACTAGTCCCTGGACAAAGACATTGGTGCTTGGTAAAGTACCCAAGCCTACTGCCACTGAGTCTATTCTGATTCATAGCGGCCCCCACTGGGTTTCCAAGGTTATAAATTGTTACAGAAGTAGATTGCCTCATCTTTCTCCCACGGAGCAGCTGGTGGGTTTGAACCACTGAACTTCGGGTTAGCAGCCAAATGCCTTACCCACTATACCACCAAAGCTCCTTTGGTAAAATACAGGGTAAGCAGAAAAGAGGAAGACCTTCAACAAGATGGATTGACACAGTGGCTGCATCAATGGGCTCAAACACAGCAATGACAGTGACGATACTACAGGACTGTTTCATTCTTTTGTACATGGGGTTGCTATGACTTGGAACGAATTTGATGACACCTAACAACAACAACAATGATGCCCTGGTGGCACAGTGGTTAAGCGCTCAGCTGCTAACCAAAAGCTCGATGGTTTAAATCCAACAACTCTGTGGGAGAAAGATATGGCAGTCTGCTTCTGTAAAGATTTACAGCCTTGGAAATCCTTTGGAGCAGTTCTACTCTGTCCTCTAGGGTCTCTATGAGTCAGAATCAACTCAATGGCAATAGGATGATGCTGAACAAGGAAGGCTCAGTATTTTATTCCATGATGTTGCCTCAAGTTAGGGGCTAACCGGACGGTGGCTAGCAACAAGAAGTACTTTGAAAGCACCTTCAAGAATTGTTAAGGTTTTTAGAGTGCTTTCTCTGTGTCACGCACTATTCTCCTTTGTAAAGTGGTTTACAAGAACTAACTCATTTATTCCTCACAGCATTTAACATTTAACAGTGTTAAATTTTTATAAGTTGTTATAATATATTTTAAAGAGTGCTTTCTGTATGCCAGGCACTATTCTACGGAGTTTTTAAAAATCAACTCATGTAATCTTTGCAGCAATCCATGAAGTATGTTTATTATTCTCCCCATGGTACAAATGAGGAAACTGAGGCTCAGCAAGGGAAGACATTTGCTTACTAACGTCACACAGTCTCACTCTGTTTTGCTCTGTCATCTTCACCTTTGCCTAAGGCAGAACAAGATGGTAGGGATCGTGAAAGACAGGGTTAGAGGCCATGAGACTGGACCCCTGAGTGCAAAGCCTCAGCACAAAGTCCGATACGTACGTTTCACGGGCACAGAGTGGCACTGCGGCCTGCCACTGTTGCACCAGCAGTATTCCACCCGGTTGCTTCTGAGCATGGGGCGCAGCCATGACTCATGTTGCAGGTATGTCATCTGTGTTTTTTCATCTCTGCAGGTCACTATAATGAAAGATAAGCTGGCCTCATTAGAGCACACTTCACAAAATGACATACAACTGCCTGGCCTTACTGAGAAGAATCCCTCTCTGGCTTTCAGTGTATTTCACCCTTTATCCCTTTTTTGCTCTCTGCTCGTAGACAAGAAATACCTAATATTTTGCCAGCTAAGACCCTTTTTATTATTTTTCCTCTGATGGGCCCATGTCTTGAAATACTTTATCAAAGTACATTTATTAAATAATGCTCTGATTTCCCATTTTTAATTCATGAATATATATATATATATATATGAGACTGCCTACCAGAGTTTGTGATCCACATGCATATTACCACATTGAAATAATTTATTCCTCGCCCAGAAAAAATTTTAATTTTAGTCTGTGCAGAAAATATGCTACTTCCACTAGTATTTTTGAGGTAATGAAAATAGTTGAAGTATTCCTGTTACTTCTCCCCCTTTCTCTCTTTCTGCAAACCAGAATGCCAACTTTTAAAAAATCTTTCATTTTAAATTAATTAAGGAAGTAATATATGTTCATTGCAAATAATTCTCTTGCTTCTTTTGAGGGTCTTTTGGGACCAGGATACCCTTATAGGAAATGCTGTGCTTCAACAAATAAGATAGTAAATTAAGGAATGACTCTGGGGAAACTTCTACTTTAAAAGGGTGTTGAAAGTCTTCCATTCTCAAAGGAAGCAAGTCATGATGGAGGGAACATGAGAGCCCTAAGTTGATAGTTTGGGATCTGAAGATAGGCCCAAATTAGAGTTCTCCAAATCAGAGTCAGGAACTTCATATTAGCCAATTTTTGTTTGTTGCTTAGTTGGTTTTGTTTTTTTGTTTCCAGAGTTTTTTGTTTGTTTCTTTTTTCCTTGGAAACCTAATGGTTTCTAGACAGCTAGACAGCTTTCTAGGCACTGTACACATGGACTCAAAGAAATTCCCTCTTTCTTTCCACACTATTTCTGTAAGTGTACCCAGGTTAAAACAAACAAACAAAAGAAACCCATGCCATTGAGTCAATTCTGACTCATAGCGACCCTATATGACAGAGTAGAACTGTCCCATCATGTTTCCAAGGCTGTAAATCTTTACAGAAGCAGATTCCCGTATCTTTCTCCCATGGAGTGGCTGGTGGGTTTGAACTGCTGACCTTTTGGTTAGCAGCCAAGCACTTAACTACTGTGCCACCAGAGCTCCTTAACCCGGGTTATCCCTGTTTACCAACAGAAAAATATAGAGACGCAGAGATGTAAATTAATGTATTTAAGGACACTGAGTGGGTTCCAGTGGAACTGGGATTACAACCTAGAAAAAGACTAAATAGAATTCGAGAGAGGCTGTCCTGAGTCTGCTGTCTGGTAACCATATGACCTTGAGCAACTCTGTGATTCCAAGACAGCCTGACTCCTTGCAAGGGCATATGTTCCTTTTCCTCTCAGAATCTGGCTAGCTGGCATCAGCTAACTGAGTGAAGAGAAATAAATGATGCAGGGATGAGACAGGCATCTTTGCAGAACTATCCTACGTAATTTCACGGTCACATAGCTTAAGTAAACAGGTCTTAGGTAGAAGATAAATCCCCTGACAGAATGTAAAGCACCCTCCACCCATCCTAAGTCCCAACCCTACCTCATGCCTCACCCAACCCTCTTCTACCTCAGCCTCATCTTACCTTTGTAAGATCTGGCTCCTCTTCTGAATCGGACATGACTTTCCTGCAAAGCAACCAAGGTGAAGGGAGGGTCAGCAAATGCTGAGTATCTCAGGATTAAAGGCAACCATACCAGAAGACCACCCATGAACCTGCCAATCAGACATCATCACCTGTCCTAAGATCACCCTACAGTAACTACTGGCCCCACATGGAATGTCTTTTTTTTTTTTTTGCCTCTTGTCTAATTTTTCCTCTCCTTCTAGACTCGTGCTTTCCAAAAGAACTTTCTGCATGATGGCAATGGTCTATATCTGTGCTGTCCAATGAGGTTGCTACTTACTAGTCTTATGTGGCTATTGAATCTTGAAAAGTGCTAGTGTGACTGAAGAAATTAATTTTTAATTTTATTGAATTATAATTCATTTCAAAGTTAAACAGCCACATGCAGTTTGTCGCTAAGGATCTCCAGTTGTACAGTACTTAAGGTATTTGGCTGCTAACCAAAAGGTTGGCAGTTCGAACCCATCAGCTGCTCCATGGAAGAAAGATGAGGCAGTCTGCTTCCATGAAGATTTATAGCCTTGGAAACCCAATGGAGGTCACTGAGTCAGAATCGATTCGATGGCAGTGAGAGTTTTGAGTTAGTAGCTACCATACTGACCAGAGTTCTAGACCCCCATCTCCTCCATGTAGCCACTCTAGATTCTCCCCTCTCTAAATTCCTTCAGCTCAAGTATTACTCATGTGGCCTTATATGATGCCCTGCATTGCTGGGCATTTTCAAAGAGTTCATGTAGCTTCCTTCAGCTAGATAATAAGAAGCAAGAGGGCAGTTTACATCTGTTTACATCTGGTCACAGTGCTTAAATTATGTTTTGTAAATATTTCATGGATTAACTCAAACACATTCTTTAAAACCATCTCCAAACAAGAACTGGAACTGTGTACTCAAGTCAGTGGCCTGGTGTTGTGATGCTGAGATCCTGATTCCTGAGAAGCCTACACACAGGGCAGCAGCAGCTGTGTACGTGCGTGTCCTGCAGGTGACTGATCCTCTCTCCCTTTGCCTTTCTCCTCTTTAACACCACTTCCACAGACTCCCGATTATCCTGAGGAACTTCTGGTATTACAGCCTCAAGGGGCAGGGCAAACAGACAGCCTGGACATCTTACCTGGCTGGACAAAGTGAAGACTACTCCACAAAGCAGCAGTAGGCAAATAAGTTCTCTCTTCATTTTATTCATTGTTTCTTTAGAATGTCCCTTAAATTCTGGAAGAAGAACGGGGGTGGGGGGTGTGTGAACAAGCTCAATCATATGATGTAAGAACTCAAAGTATATGACAAAGTTGAAGAACACGAGACTTTACTATGGCCGGGTTCCACCAGCATCAGCTCCCAGGACAGGAAATACCAGGACAAGTGTCTGGAAGATGCTTTTGCCTAGAGATTTCTGTATGCTGAAGGGCAGGACCAACTCGGGCACTTCTTGGCAGCCCAGCTACCACAGTGCCCTGGCTTGCTTTCCCTGGAAGTGAATTCCTACTCTGGATTGACTATCAAGCCACAGTAATGCCCTCTCTCTGACTTTTTCAGAGGAATCTGTAGGGATTTTATTGCCAGCACATTACAGGGCCAGCTTACCTCAGATGTCTCCACTCTCCCACTTAGAACCCACTTCCATGTCTGAGCCCTCCTCTTATTCCAACCAACAAAGGCAAGGCTCTCTCCATGCCAGTCCTCCCCCACCACCACACTCCTCCATTGGAATGTCTTCTTCTTTTTTTTTTTTTTTTTAAGAGACTGTGACAGGCCCGACAAAGTGCAGATTTGCAGAAAGGAGACGAGGCATCTGGTTTTGGGTCATTAGACTCAGATCTTCCTGGATCCAGAGTTCCCAGTTTCCATTTGCCTTTCCCCAGTGATCTTGCTCTCAGCGGCTTAAAGTAGGTTAGTTGGTTGGGGTGTTATTTTGTGGTCTGGCAGGCCCTCTCACTCCTACATCCACAAGAATTAAATCAGGGCATTTCTTCCCTTGACTCATTTCCCTTCAGTCACAACAACTTTTGGATCCCACCCCTCCCCCCTTATACGATCCACGGGCGCTCCGCCCCTCTGTTGGTTCAGGACCTTGCAGGGCTTTCATCCTTGACTTGCTCTGGCCCCTTCTTTGTTTCTTGCAAAAGTCTGCTGGAAGTCCCGTCCTCCTCCCATCCCCACAAGCTCTCTTCAGAGCTAAGATAAAAAAGAGAGAAAGAGAAAGAGAGAGAGAGAGAGAGAGAGAGAGAGAGAGAGAGAGGGAGGAGGGGGCTCTTCATGCCTGACTGAATCTTCCTGGGCAGCTGATGACCGGCAGCGGAGGGAAAACGGAGCTGGGGGTGGAGGGTGAGAGGCCATGCAGGAGGATCTGATCAACAGTGAGTCCGATAACAAAATACAGCGCGAGGACTCAGGCAAAGGCTTGCCTCCCCTCCCGGTGTTGAAGGCCTTTGTTCTAATTTAGCGTGGCTTCCTAGGCAGGGTGTGCTGTATGAGAGGGCCTTTTTCTCACCAGAGGAGGTAGCTGTGCTACAGATCTACTCACAGGTTCCAGGCAGTTACCAAAAAAAGAAGTACGGAGTAGAGAGTTGAGGCCATCCAAAAGAGGAACACAACGTGGAATCTTCTTATCATAGGGACTTTCTCATTCTCTGTTTTCCCCAAATTTCTCTTTTCAAAATCGTCCCAAATTCCTCTCAAAGTTCTCCTTCTTAATTGTATCCCATTACTTACAACCCTTAAAAATACATCTTCTTGATATTAACTTCCTTGAGGTGCCCTAGAAATGTATGTAAAATAATGAAAGAAAAAAAGAAAGAGATACAGAGAGAGAGAGAAAGGAAGGAAAACCTATTTCCTAGTAGGAATTCAATATATGTTACTTATCTTTTTCATGGATTTTCTCAAGAACAAAAATATTTATTCAAAAACTAAAAAAAAAAAAAAAAACTTCTTAAATTTATTCTCCTTCTTTCTTCCCAATGGTAGTCCTTTTTCACATATTTACAGATGCTCCCACCTTTTATTACCTAGATCAAGCCTTTAGGATAGAAAGTATATCTTAACTCTAAAGCCTCAGGACTTTTTGAAGAAATTCTGAATAAAGCCATGGATGAAGGATCTCTGGTAGCATAGTGGCTAAGACACTTGACTGCTAACCAGAAGGCTGGTGGTTCAAACCCACCAGCCACTCCTTGGAAGGAAGATGGGGCAATCTACTTCCGTAGTGATACTGCCTCAGAAACCCAAGGAGGGGTCACTATGAGTCCGACTCCACAGCACATAACAACAACAACAACCAAAACAAAGAACTTAACTCTTCTCTTGCATTCCAGACCGACTAGTCCTTTCAATATACTTATTCACGACCTGGGGATGGTTTAGTCTCTTCTCTGGATGTCCTTAAAGCTATGGTTTTATTTTAAGAACTCAAAGTCTTCTTAATGGAACACAATTCTAGATGTTGGAAAACTGCAAACTGAGTGATCAAGTATTAAATACCTTTGTATTCCCTGCCTCTCCAAAAAGCTATGACTGCCTCCCCTAGCAAAGTGGGAGGGGGTAGGAGGGATTAAGTGGTGAGGAGGAGTATGACTTAGGGCTGGGTGTAAAAACTCCAACAGCTGCATCATTTTAAATTCTTTTGCAACTTAATAATTAGCATAAGAAGGAACCCACTGCCACTGAGTCAATTCCAACTCGTAGTGACCCATATCTCTACAGAAGTAGATTGCCCAGTCTGCCTTCTGAGGAATGGCTGGTGGGTTTGAACTGCCAGCCTTCTGGTTAGCAGTCAAATGCCTTAGGCACTATGCTACCAGTGTCCCTATAAGACAGAGTAGAACTGCCCCTTAAAGCTTCCAAGGCTGTAGATCTTTACAGAAGCAGACTGAGTTATCTGTCTCCTACAGAGTTGCTGGTAGGTTCAAATCGCTGACCTTTTAGTTAGCAGCTGAATGCCTTAACTCCTGTGCCACCAGAGCTCCTTAAAAGAGAGAAAGAAGTCTGTTTTATTTTCTGCTCCTGGGAGAGTTAGGAATTCAATATATGTTATTTTCTTATCTTTTTCATGAATTTTCTCAAGAACGCTCTTGTACCAGTCATTTCTCTTCCTAGGCCTCTTTCTCTTGGTCTTCAGGGAATCTGGTGCAAACTAGTCTCATACAAACAAAGCAAAAGCTCCATTCATGCTGCACAAACAGAGGCAATTAGAGCAGCTGGACAGGCTGTTCGGGGCAGGAGGATGACAAAGAAATTAGTCATCCCGCCAGCAGGAAAGCAGTGCAGTCCATAGACAACGGAGAAAGAAGAGAGGCAAAATGAGAAGTGTCCTTGTTTTGCCTTTGTTAAAGAGTTGGGCATAGAAGTCTGGGGGCAGTGCCTGGACAAAGAACAAAGTGAATACCAGAAACATGGACTCAGACTTGGGGCCTGGGGAGGCCAGGCCAGGGTAGACATTTACTCCTTAGACCACAGCCTCCCACCAATGGGAGAAGTGCCAAGTCCTCATGTTGAGGCCAGAGTGGGAAATGAGATTTTAGGAATAAATATAAGGAAAGAAAGTCCTTTGGAGGCTCACTTTATAAGGACTAAGACTTGAATTTTTTTTCTGTGCCCTCTTCCTTTTGTGCTACTCAACAGCTTCCCAGAATCATCAAGGAACTGGGGAAAGAAAAAAGAAAAGAAAACACTAGGGTTTCTGACCTTTTTGTTGGACTGGAACCCATGAATCATGGAAAGCATCACTGTACTGAGAGGGGCAACAGCATGGCTGTAAGGCCTGCAGTCCCCAAGGCCTCAGCCCAGGTAGGCCCACGCTAGCACACACAGTTGCTTTTTGCAGATTTGCAAAAGGCACCCTCTCTGGTGCATAGAGCTCTGCAGGCACAGGGTTTGGCAAGTTGACAAAGAAGTTGTGCAAATTAGAAAACAAAACAAAACTGTCCTTTCTTCCATGTGAACACAGCCCCATGCCAGGACACATGTCTTGTCAAATAAAGTTTGGGTTAGATTTCAAAGATGTGCTGACAGGGCATCCTTATGTGGGACACAACCTGCACATCTGTCCTCAGCAGCCTTGCCTGCCTGCTTCCAACATGCATGTGCATCCTGTAGAGTATGTTATGGGTTGAATTATGTCCCCCCAAAATAATGTGTTATAAATCCTAGCCTCTAAACCTATGGTTATAATCCCATTTGGGAATGAGTTGTCTTTGTTACGTTAATGATGCAGGATTAATTAAGGGTGTACCCTGAGTCAATCTCTTTTGAGATATAAAGAGATTAAACAAGCAAGCTGTAGAGAGAGAGGAGGTAAGGGAGATGCCAAGACAAATGGAGCTCGCCAAGGAACCAAGAAACAGAAGTTGAAGAGATAAGGACCTTTCACCAGAGCTGACAGAGAGTGAAAGTCTTCCCCTAGAGCCAGCATTCTGAATTCAGTCTTTTAGCCTCCTCGGGAGGAAGGTTGGGCAATCTACTTCTGTAGTGATACCGCCTTGGAAACCCAAGGAGGGGTCGCTATGAGTCGGGTCTGACTCAAAGGCAAATAACAACAACAACAAACTGAGAGAGAACAAATTCCTGTTTGTTAAAGCCATCCACTTGTGTTTCTGTTATAGCAGCACTGGATAACTAAGACAGCATCTCTGACCCTCTTGCCTTGAACCTGTATTTGGCCTTATGAGGCATTAGCAACCGACAGACTCTGCTCACTGGCACCTCTAAACACTGCAAAAATAAGTGTTGTAGGGGAAAATGGGAACAATGGTCTTGTAACTAGGGAGGGTTCCATCTCATTGAGGGTTTCCCTCATTTCATTGGCCCTCTACCAACCATTGTTTCCTTTTCTAGCAATTGATCTTTCCTGGTGACTTGTCCAAAGAAAGTAAGTGAAAGTCCAGCATTGCAGAGACAATAAAGAGCAGTGGGAAGAGCATGAGACTTTAAGTAGAAGTACTGGGTATCCCGGGTTGAGTTCTGATGTGACCTCTTAGATGTAGGGCAAGTCCCTTATACTTTTTTTGAAGTCCAGTTCTACCATCTGTAAAAATGAGGATTTGTTTAGAGTCAGATTTTGGGGTTAACATTTTATTACACTGACTAATTGAATTAGTGTTTGCCAGCTGAGTCTTATTTTCACTTCAGAAGGATCTAAGTTTATTAGGAAAAGTTTGCTTTTGTTTATATTTTGTAGAAGCTAGGAAT